AGATTAATCTGCTGATCATTTTCTCAATCAATTGATTGTTTGGTTTGTAAACAGTCTAAAAATAGTGCCAATTACCCATAACCCAAAGTGACACATTCACAGTGCCTGTACTGTCCAACCAATAGTCCAAACTTCAATATCATTTAAAATAAATGATTAAAAATGTTTAACGGATAATTAGCAAATCATCTGTAAAATTACTCCAAAAAATGTAATAGTCACCAATTAAATCAATTGATTTATTGACTAATCATTCCAGCTGTACTTAGACTGTAGTAATAATAAATTTAATTTACAACAAAACACATTTTATAAGCTCTTCGTATGTTTGCAATTATCCTAATTTGCACAGTTACTAGTAGTCAAATAAATACAAAGTCAGCTTAAGTCATAGTAAATGGTTGGATTAATCAATATTAACAAATGACAGCTCAAAAGGCACATTGGCATAGTGAGGACAGTGCAGTAAAAGACTAATGTGACTGCTACAGATTCAGTTGAATAAAACCAGTCTGACATGAGAAGGTCATACAAACAAATGAGTGGTGACTGTAGCCGTGTACATGATGTGTTTTACAAAAAGAGGCAGAGTAAGCTTGATAAAAGAAAGCTTGTCAACCAGTCTGATGTCTCACTCTGAATATATTTGAATACACTGTGGAAATGGAGTATAAACTGTGAGATCTTAAGCTGAGTGTGTCTTCAATGGTTGTTAAAATGTATAAAGGTCTACAGAGATTTAAGTTAGAACTCCTGTCATTATGAATTGTTTGATGGAGTGAGGCTAATGCAATTTCATTTAAATGAACTAAAGCCACAAAAGGCATTGGCAACTGATTTATCTAACGTTCAGTAGACAATGGGGCTGCATTCTTGGGAGGAAATTCAACCCGAAGATTGAAGAGGGGATTGAGGTGGGAGTTGAGAGAGAGAAACATCCATCAGGATTGCAGAACAATGAATCCAATCACTCTGTATTAATGAGCCAATGCTTAAAATAGTTCCCGTTGTGAGGTGAAGTCAGGGGAAATGATCTTTGCAGGGGGGAAGAAGCTTCCTGATAAAAGTCTGGGCATAAATCATTTTGTGGAGTAGAAATAGCTAATCTCTTTTCCTTCAAACTCCCCACCTGCTCTGAACACTGCTGAATAGCGATCCTGGGGAAAAGCTATTCTTAACGCTGAGTGGTGAATAGGTGACTTACTGTATGTCTGGAGGACTCCGAGGAGCTGGCTTGAACGTACTGTATATATGGCCACACACAACACTGTACACAGCTCAATGATGGACTTCAAAACTTAAAGCAAAAAAGCACGAAGATCTTTCCAAAATCCAGCACTGTCTGCTAAATGCCATAGCAAGCTTATGTCTAGTGATTCTAGAGATTTTTTATGTACTTGATTGATCTGTATTGATCAGCACTGAGTTTACTAATTTTGATTGTACACACGCACACACACACTGTGAGATCTCTGGGTCAACAACAACACAAACTGATAATTCATAGCGACATGGCTCTAGGGTTGGCATTGTTGGCAGACAATTCTGATCCAGACTGAAAACAGCTATAGAATGGATTGGCATGAAATTTTGTGCAGACATACATTTGCCTTCCAAGATTCATTGTAATAAATTTGGTGGCCCCCTGAGTTTTTGTCTAGTGCCATCATCAGGTCAACAAGCTTATGTTTTCAGCGCTGTTTGTTTGTCTTTCAGCAGGATTACGGATAAACTACTGGCCCAATTTTCATAGAACTTGGTAGAGGGGTGTAGCATGGGCCAATGAAGAACCCATTAAAGTTTGGAGCAGATCCAATGTGGAGGATACATGAATTAACACCAATGTCTATGGCAAAATTAACTAAATTCGAAACACATGCATGAACCCGTTGTAATTAAAGTGACTGGTGTGCCGTGACAAAACATACAACAAAACAGGCACCTCAAACATCACTGAAGAAACAAAGCACCTTGGCCAAAGTT